CATCTATTGATTATTATCATTATCACTGAATATAATATTAATGGCCGCCTGAACATCACCATCAGTGGCTTCGAGGGCTTGAATGGCAACGATCTCATCATTAATACCTAAATCCCTCAACTGTTGCAACTGTGAGGCCCAACCCCGGAGTCGGGCAGCAACTGAACCGGTACTCGAACTGGTGGACGGCAGGGATGGCTCACTCGTTGGACTCGTAGTCGATGTCGACGCAGAGCTCTGAAGCGCTTGTCTTAACATATCTGCAGATAATTAAAGAGTTAATAAATGTAATAGAGATTCAAACGGAAGAGTAATGCCTGAAGTTATGACACCAGAACTGGTCGATGGGTTAGACCTACGGCTCGAGTTCTGGTTTGATTGAAACGAGCGAATCATTGCGTCCGCGATATTGCGGGCAGTCGTCGGGTCAGCTCCTCCTCCTTCAGACTCATCCATGTCCTCGTCGTCATCGATGGAATCCAATGAGTAGTCCGGCGGTCGGGTACCGGGAGTCTCGTTGGCGATGGACTCCTCGTGAAAAGTTGCCGCCAGGAAAGTGGACGCATCCAAAAGGCACGGGTGTCGGGCCAACACGCGGTGGATATTCGTCGGTTCCGTCAACACTCCCAACAGATCCCAGTCTTGGAGTATAGCTGCGGACACGTAATGACAATCACAATCGTATGATAACTCATTGGGTGTGATGGTTGTGTACCGAAAGCCGTGGTATCCTCTCTGAGTCCGGGCGTCACTGCCATCAGATTCTCGCGAAACTCAGGTTCACTCAACTTCTCCAACATCTGACGGAATGAGTTGTCCATCAAAGCCGTCCTCAAAGCGATCACCATATGCTGAATGTCTGACTGACAGATGGCTGGTCTCGTGTCCATGGGTTCGGTGTCTGAGTTGTCCTCAAAGGCAGACAAATCTGTTTTGTTTAACACGAAGACAGTTGTGCCCTCTTTGACGCCATACGAGTCCAGCATCTGATCCGACGACAGAATACGTCCGAAACACATGAGATCTGCGATACAGTGGCAATACATTAGACCATCACTTGTCTCATCCCATGTCTTAATATTAGTTCAAACAAACAAATACCAAATTTGTCTTCAGTTATATCCAGTTCTTTGGACACCAATTGAGACAATGTCTTGACGGGTGTTTTCAAGTCAATGGCCAACCTTTTGTTGCTTTGCTTCACTAAATTGGACGCAAACTTAGAGCAGATCTTTACGTGTGAAGACATTTGTGGTGATAGTGTGGACACAAATGT